CCGCGATTCTTCTTCTTCTTCTTCTATGTGTGAGAACCAGAGACGCCTGCCACTTTTTCAAGGGGCCACTCGAATGACTCGGAGCAGAGCAAAGTTACAAACACAACACCAAAGTCTCACTCGACGTGAATGTGCGACTCGGCAAGAAACTTGACCGCAAGAGCGAAACGGGGAAAAACCATAAGCGCGAAAATATTATGCGCGGAAATATATTTTTTGAGGCCGGTTTCAAGTTCATAATTTGAGAAATCACCGGAAATTGCCACTATTTGACACGAATTTTCTAAAAAAGGTCAACCTACATAGTTTAAATAAAAAATAATAATTTTAAATCTTTCATGACGCACAAATTTGTATTTGCCTCGCCTTACAAGAAATATATGAAATTTTGAAAGTCCAAGATAGGCAAGGAAATTAAATTTTGAAATTGTTGGGAATTTTGAATAAAAATTGATCTAATTATTTGAGTCAATGCTCAGACGCATACCAGAGCACATAAGATAACTATTTCCTTTGTTGGTTCATGAAAACTGTTTTCAAGTTGAGGCTGTCAAATGAATTGCCATAGAATTTATGTGTGAAAATAAAATATCACTGCTGGAAAAGACATTTTTAAAATGTTTCTGATTTCTTTTGATTTTAAGCTCCTTTTTTTGAGAGCATTTCTAAGATGAGCTCTAATTTCTTTTATATCGAGCTCATTATTATTATGGCGTACAATATATTCTGGGCAGGCAATGTAGTTTGGTAAAAAATAGATATAAAGAAACGAAAACTAAATCAAAAATTGGTTGAAAAATATTCAATTCTCCTCACACAAAAATGGAAGAAATGAAATAGAAAGAAAGCAGTTTATCAATGAATTTAAAAAATAATCTAAAATTATTGTTTACATTTATCATTTATGAACATTTAATCAAGCAAAATATTTAAGTTTTGTTTCAGCTCAATTTAGGGTGATAATGAAGATTGATTTGGAGAAATATTCAGCAATTTTATCCAAAATTTTGATCATTTAAATCTTCATTAGAATATTTCCTTTGAAGAAGTTGACACTCGAGGGGATGATCATGGAAATGAAGCCCAAAAGGTTTGCTTAATTTCATTAAATAATACTTCATTTAAAAAAAATTAATACGTCTCAAAGGAAACGGATAGAAATAACATCTACATAAAAAAATATTTATAAATTTAGAGATCAATCTTCATGAAAGCCACCTTGTTTAATTTAGTTGAGACTGGTATTAATGACGATCGAATGCAATTCATATTTAATATTGCAAATTTTTTACAAATTTTAAAACTGGTTCTGTAAAAATTAAACTTCAAATTGTAAATTATTATAAATAAATCATTGTAATTAGAAGAGGAGCAATTAATTAATTTGTTTAAATTTTGAATCTTTTCTCAATTCAATACGAATTTGAATAAATAATTTGAAAATGCATCCATTATCAATAATAATGAATAATTGGAGTCAATCATTAGTCAATATTAGTAAATTACCCAACACTATTCAATTGATATAACTGAAAAATCAACTGTCAATAAAATCTACAACTTCTTCAATGAAAATACAGAGAATCAAAAAACAAGATTTCCAACGAAAAACACGATTTTAGATTAAGAACTGATCAAATTCACACTTACAGGGTCATTGCGGCGTCAAGTGGTCCATTCCATTTTCGCTGTATGTAAGGCACTGACGGCTGCACTCGCTGATAATGAGCGTGTGTGTCGCAAAATCCGCGTCACTAATCGGAAGGCAGCTCCGTATCACGCATTTCCAGCGGCACAAATGACGACGCTCTCGGCAGTGCCTCCGCCCGAGCATAAATTATGGAAGGAGAAAAAGAGAACGCGAGTGTGTGAGACGCGGCCGAGCTGCAGACACTGAATTAAAAAGTTCAATTTCCAGCTCAGCTTTTGACCTCTGCAGGAGTCAATCAGATGGACAAATGGACGGACAATCCCCCCCCCCTCCCACTTCAACGAGTCTCAAATTCCCAATTAAAAAGAAATGACCAAATAAAAAATTAATTCTCTCACGACTGAAATTCGAGCCGCGAGATATAGAGAAATTTGACTCTTATTATGTAACTTTTATCTCGGCACGCGGACTTTGTTCTATTTAGTCTCGACCGATTGAAAAAAATCCGTATAAATGTAAATTCGTCGCAAACTTTCTCTCAGGTTTGATTTTTTGCAAATTCGCTTCGCCAAGGTCCTGCCAGCACGTCGACGGCGCGTGAGTCCCGCCCGGGGATGAGCTCTCAAGTACGTGGTTTAATTTATCAGTTTATTTTATGCCGCGTTTCGCAACTTCCAGCCACTCCAGAGCAGATCCCATTGCACCGCACCGAGTTTATTGACAAGCGCGTTGCGAGACTTACTTAGGTGACTCTAAATTGCTCAACAAAACGTCTCAATTTAATTAAAATAAAATAAAAATTGAAAGAAAAGAAAAAAGTTATTACAAAAATTTATAATTTTTCTTAATAATTTAATAAGTAAGTTATTGGAATAATCAAGGAAATGAACTTTTAGAATTGAGTCGAACTGCAAAAACTTGTTCGAGTTGGAGTCCAATTGGCAAAGTTTTATGTATTTGAAAAAAGAACGTTTTTGTCAAAATTGATTTTTATTCTTCCAGGTTTTAACTGTTTAAATAACAATTAATATTGAAAATTAATTAATAAATATTTTTAAGCGTTGTAACTGAATTTTATTTTACTTGGAAAAACTTGATTTGAACGTTTTATAATAAATAAATTTACCAAGGTTTAAATTAATTACTTTCACTGGATTTTTAATTAATTTGAGAATTTAAGACTCAATCTGATATTCGAGCTTACTTAAATCATTACAAAATTAACAAGTTAAGGAATAATTTTCAATTGAGACAAATAACTTTTTTTAAACAATTTTTGTCTGCAATCTGGGTTTTTTCATGAGTATTTAATTCACTTTTCTTGTCGACTAAAAAAACTATTTATGATTAAACAACAGAAACGTGGTTTATCTTCCAAATAAGAATTCATTATAATACAAATTTTAATGTTATCTGATCTGTTTAGAAAAAAAAACTTGATATAAATCATTAACAACGTTGTAGATTATCAGGAAATAATGTTGTTTGTTTCTTGTGTCGTCGCAGATAAATTTCCTGGCAACACTAATGCGACTCTGGCGCAGCTGCCATGATTAATGCAGTCGGCGTTTGACCCACGTGCGATCGTAAACACCGACTCAAGGATTCGCGACGCATAAAAAAATGAACGAGACACATCATTTATATCTCCAGCGCTGTATGCAAAATTACGCGAGTTCGGCATTGAAAAATTTCGGTCGGCAACCTTCAAGATCCGAGAGCGTTGGCTGACATTGACCGATATCTAATCTTTCGTCCCAATCGCTGCCGAGAAGAAGAAGAAGAAGAAAAGCTCCAAAGAATAAAAGCAGAGCGCTCTTTCTCTGCCGAACTTGACCCACTTGAATGACGCAAAATACGCTATTCGAAGGCAAAAAAAGTGTTCAATTTTTACTTGTTGAAATGAATATTCATTGGCATATATTTTCATTTTTTATACAAGCTAAGAACTTCTCTTAATCTTTTTAAGTAAAAAGAGTATTTTATAACAATTTTAAAAAGTCAGTTTGTTTAGATAATTAAATTGTAGGTGTTTATTTCCATAATTTTTTCTACATTTTTGGAAAATTTATGGACTCTTTTGTAGTTTTCAATTTTATATTAACTAGAGTCCATAATCCCTTCCTGTGTATTGCATGCATTTTTTTAATTTTTATTGAATTATCAACAGGATATAATTTTAATTTAATTACCACAAGCAACATAAAAATACATTATTTTGATAATTTCCCTATCTTTTCCTTTCTTTTAGTTTGTCAATGGATTAAAATAAATTAACGAAAAAATTACTTCTTTCACTTGAATTTTGACAGCAGTAAAAATAATAAATATTGAAAGCCGCCATAAGTTTGATGTGACCTTAAAATAGCATATTGGTATATTTCTTAATTCTGTATGAAATTATTCGTAGATCTTTGTTTTTTAATTCATACTGACGATTCAGTACATAATGGCATGTAAATCACGAATAGAATTCCGTTTCCATCATTGGAAGTTCCGCAAACAGTTCAGTTGCGATTCCTGCATTACAATTATGTTTTTGCCAAGTGCAATAAATAAACAATCCGGTTTGCTGTTTGCAAAAATGGCAAATCCGACAATAACAAGATGTACTTAAACGGTATTAATCGCAACCGACTAGAAAAACTAATCACGTTTTATCAAAACAAAAATCAACTTTTTCTTTCTTCATCTATAATGTTGCAATAAATAGTTTTGTCAATTTGCAAAACTCACCTCGATCAGGTGCTCTCGCATGTCGGATGGTCGCCGATTTGCTTTGACTCATTTGACAAATCGCAGTCTGTCATGACTTCGGGCGTGTTGCGCTTCTTGTTCGCTTTTGTTTACTTTTTTACGTTCGGACGAGCTAACTGCAGGGGCTGCTGAATTTTGATCCACCAAGATTGCGGCCTTAAATTCTCTCTAATATCACAGCCCGCGAGTGGCCGAAACTAATTGACTGGCCAAATCTAAATCAACAAACGAAAATTTCGCCAGGTGGAAACGACATCTCGCGCACCACCAGCCCTAGCTGCCTGCCTTTTGCTCGTGAACTGTTCTCGCCAGCTCGGGTTGCTGCGATTTTTAAGGTCGATTCCGCAGCCTCCGGACCTGCGCAACTCCCCCGCGCGCTCGCCCGTCCTTGGACGGCCTTCTGCGTGCGTTCGCCGAACGCGACGCGTCCTTGACCGACTCAGGTCAATCCCAGGTCAGGTCGAAACTCACCTTTCAGTGGCCGCCGTGCAGATTCCTGAGGATCTTCCTGGAGACAGGGTGCGAAAGTGTGTGGAAATTGGAGCTTCGAACGTTCCCGCGCTACGCCCCCGTGAGAGCCACGCCCACTTCTGTCGCAGCTGAATTTCTTGTTTTGTTTATGTATGAAATTTTGCAGGCCCTGAATTAGAAAGGCATTCATGAGGACCTCGCGGGCGGCTCAACTTCGCCAATCGTAAAATTAAGTTCTGATGGACGTGACGGGAGATTCGACGTCGGAAAATGCGATGGATGATCTCCAGGGCGAAATTTACAAAAAGAAGTTCGAGTTGTTGCTCAAACGATGCCGGGAAATAGAACAGGTTCGGGGTTTTTTTTCTCATTGATTTTCTTAATTAATTTTTATGCATTAAATTATTGCCGTCTTTTTCAGGACAATCAACGAATAGCTTACAGGATTTACAAAGTAGAGAAAATGTACAAAGAGACTCGACATGACAAAAAGTATGATTTTTTTCTTTCTCAAAGGTCATAATCATTTTTACTAATTGAATCTTGTTTGCTAGAATTTTAAAACAAAGACTGGACCTTCACCGCGATGAATGGCGGGCTGCGTACGCAGAAAGAAATAGCGCCGACGCCCCCGAGGGACTTCTTCCGCCACCCCAAAGCAACCTAGTACCACATCCGCCCGCTCCTCCTCAAAAACCAGTCAAATTAAAAATCAGCCTTGGCAAGTCGCCCCAGGCTTCAAGTAGCAAAGCGCCTGTCAAGCAACCTGCGGCTTCGTCTTCAAGGGCTGCTCCCAAACCTCAGAACCCTTCCAAGGCGCACGGAGGAAAGCCCAAAGCCGTCATGCCTATAAAAGTAACACTTCAATTGATAATTTTTTTTTTCATGCTTATTTATTACTTCATCTTAGCAACCTGTGAATCGATCAGCGCTTAACAGCCCTGCAAGCAAATCTTCCTTAGGAGGAAAACCACAGTCACTAATCAGACCTCCGTTGCCCTTACAAGCGCAGCCTCCAGCTTCAAAAGTGACTTGCATGCTTAAGCAATTTTGAAAATTATTATTAATTCTAAACAATTTAGGCACCAAATCGGAGAGCGTCGATTGAGAAAGGTGGCAAAAAAGCGTCCAAAGAAAGGCCTAAGAAACCCAAAGTGGAGAAAGATCCGAATGCTCCAAAGAAACCAGCCAATCCCTTCCTGCAGTTTTGCAAAGAGCAGAGATTGATCACGACCGAACTCATGCGAGGAGCGTCCGACATCAACAAACAAGAATTGAACAAAGTTCTCTGCAACCGATGGAAAACCTTGACTCCAGAGGACAAAAAGGTAATTTGCTGTGCCACTTTAGTGAGATCATGTTGAAATTCTCTTTTTGCCAGGTGTACATTGAAAAGTATGAACTGGAAAAGCAGCAGTACAGTATCGAGATGGAACTGTACGGCAGGCAAAAGGAGGGTATGCTTGGGTCGCTGCCTGCCGAGTTGTTTGATCTGCCTTAAACGTACTCTTGGACCTGCTGCACCATGTCATTGCCAAATAAATTTTAGATCTAATTGAATGAAAAACAAATCTATTCTTAACTTTACAACTAGGTGTTGTTTATTATATCAACAAATTATAAGATAAATTTTTCAACACACTCCAAAGCTTTCTTGATAATCCCAAAATACTCCCATATTTAATATTATTGCATCTCTTTGAGAGATTATTCATTTAAAATGCATTTCATTACTTCTTATAAATTGGAACAGGCCTTCTCATTTTGCTTTGAAGTTGTCTTTTTCCTGCCTAATAGCGCCCATTGTCGAAATTGGATCCGCCTGTCCGGCGTGCTGCTGGACGCTGTCCTCGGTCACTCGCATGAACGGATTGATCTTCTTTTCCTCACCTGCAGGCAATAAAAATAATAATACTTGAATCAAAATAGTGACAAAATCTCTCATACCGATTGTCGAAGGTACAGTTGGCTCATTCCTGCCTCGAGTCGCAGCAGCCCAAGCAATTTTATTTTTTATGTCGTCGTTGTGAGGCTCGACATGGGCGGCGAACTTCAAGTTCTGCTCCGAATACTCGTGTCCGCAAAACACTTGCTAAACATGAACATTTTAATACTGACAAAAAAAAAATTGAAGAAATTTTTACAGTATTATCGGGGAGCTGACCCAAAACCTCAATCAGGGCCTTGTGCATCTGGACAGGCGTGCCCTCGAAAAATCTGCCACATCCAGCAATGAAAAGCGTGTCTCCTGGAAATAATTTGTAAATTTAAAGAAAAATCGGTCGAGAAGAATTTATTTACCTGTGAAGACGGTCGGAGGGTCTTGGCTTTCTGGACTTTCGATGAAGTAGCAAATGTGTCCTGACGTGTGGCAAGGGGTGAACAGACACTTGACCTTCAGAGAGCCAATCTGGAAACTGTCTCCGTGGGACACTTTGTCAGTCAAGGCGCCGATGCGATCGTCTCCTCCGACAACTTTCAGTTTGCTGGCAGCGCTTTTCACGAGGTCAACATTGCCACCTGCATGGTCCCTGTCATTTAATTAATGTGCATTAAATTAAAACCAAACAATTGTTGATCAACAAACCAATGATGGTGCGTGGTGAGGATTGTGGTCAGGTTGACGCCTTCCTCTTTGACGGCGCCGAGCACCCTGTTCGGCTCCACAGGATCTATTATGGCAGCCTCTCGAGTTTGCTCATCGACAACCTGCACATTTCAATCAATAGTTTTAATAGAAATCAACAGGACGGGTTGAACTTTTAACCAAGTACATGTAGTTGTCTTGAAGGGCAGGGAGGACCCTGATCCTCATACCGGAATGATTCACAATCTTCGACATACTGTGAGTCCCTCGGAAACCAACTTTGCTCCACTTGGAAACTGAAAAAAATCAATTATTTTAATTTTATATTTTTTTAAACTTTTGTTATGCCTTTGAAGTATACTGGAGTGAGCGCGTCTACTAATTGGCTGGGCAGGCTGCGGACTACAGCATTGAACATAACACTTGATTTCTAGCAAAAAGCTTTTTTCTTACGAAGTATCAACCTGGAATATTTCTGAAAATGTAAAGAATTATTTGTTATTGTCAAAGGAAATGTGTAGAAAATTTAGAAGATATAAAAAAGCTGTAAAATTCTTGAAAATTAATTTAGTTTTAAATTACATAACTCTTTCAAAAATACAAAAACATCTTTGACAAATTTTCTGGTTTGTCTCAAACACGAGTGCTTAGCATCTGCAGTTTTATAAAACGATAAGATTTCATACATATTCAGAAATACGATTAACAAACTATAGCCGTCGAAAATTACTCCTGTACAAAGCAAAAAATTGCAAAATGCGAAAATCAAAATTCGAAGACAAATTATAAATTTGCAGTTTTATTATTTTTGAGCAAAAGCAACGATGTTAATAGCTAAAAATGTGCTGAACAAAATTACAAATGACTCGGCACTATGACCATTATCTTACCGGCTCGTTGAATATTTTTTTTTTAATTAATAACAGCAGCGCAAAGCGCAATCAACAAAATATCTGAAGACTGAAGAGTCTGCATCTGCACCCGGCGCTGCGGCGCTTTTGGTAAACATAAAAAAAAAAAATACAAAACATGGAAGGGAAATTCATTCACCGCTGCGAGCTGCCATCTAACGACAACTCCGGTGAACTAATATCTGATAATACTAAAGATATCTAATTTATTACATTTTTATTGCGTCTGCAAAAATTTATATAGATCGTAATAAGTTGTGATCATTACTTAAGGCCTCCTTATTGACATCTACAACTTCTGTTTGCGGAAAATCGGCCCGAAATTTTTGGACCCAGATTTTTTTATAGATTCCTGCCCACCAGTGGAGTTGATTGCTCAAAGAAAAATGGGGGGTCGCGTGGATTAATCTTGAAATATGATTTTTTGAAATTTAACATGGCGTTTTATGGAGATTTTTGTTAATGGCGATTAAAAAAAATCTGCCCGAAATTTTTTGCTCAAAATTGCACAAAATGATAATTGAATGACCCTAAACAGATAAGCAGAAAAAAATTGGGAGTTCATGGGGCAAAAAATTTTACATTGGGCATATGGGAGATCAAAAAAACCTCTTTGGTACTCTTAGCATTGCAATAAGGAGTCCTTAACACAATTGAACAGAAAATTTTTTTCTTTCATTTTTTCATACTTTATTTGTGAACGAAAAATAAGGAACGAAAATAATATTCGCATTTTTTTTTATTATATTGTATTATACTGCAGTGTCTTATCTCTTATTATAAGAGATATTATTATTATAATGTACATTTATTAAAAAAAGTGCAATACCAATACTCATTTTTTCATGTTCAGTTGAGCTCACTACAAAATAATAAGGAAGTTTATTTAATAATTTATCTATTTTGAAATGGAGAATGACAAAAATCAATAAACAAAAAGTGTACCAAACATTTTCAGCTTTTATTGTGTATTTATTTTAAGAAATTGGCACTCGAGGAGATATTTTTTATTTTTTATTACAAAAAACGCACAATGGTTTTTAACTAACCTACTTCTTTTCACAGCATAAAAAATTGAATGACAAGCAAATTGAGAGATGGGGTGATTTTTGTCTTCGTCGTTATGCGAGTAAAAAAGTATATTTTTCATTTAGCCCCAATCTCGTCATTATTGCTTCGAGTTGCTTTTGTATGAGGTGGTGACAGGGCCTGTCAATAAATGGTCTGCGATCACGCCACGCGCGGGTTATAACATTGCGCCGGCAGTGCCCATGTGGCCCCTTTCTCACCATCTCTATTTTACCTTTTATTTTCAGTTTTTTTATTTTCACAAAATATATTATGGCGAGTTTACGGTGCTGCTGACACTTCAGGCCGCACAACTCGACAACATTAAGCTGATGAAGTAGCGCAAAAATCGTGCACGAGGAGCCGAGAAAGAAAAATTGATCACCAGGCCAAAAAAATGGTTTTGTTTTCCGCTTTCGAAAACCGTGAACAAATTATTTAAGTATTTAGAATAATGTCAAACAGATTTTCATATTTTGGTACAAATTTTGTAATATCCCATTACCTTTATATCGCTTTATATGTATTTACTTTGAATATAAATATTCAAATAGCTGACATTAAATTTTATTGTTATTTTTTATATCGATGACATGATGTAGTATATTTATCATATTAATTAGATGTTTATGAAGAACGACGTAAATTAATAGATAATAAATTGCATCAAATAATTCGATATCCAGTGAACAATCCTGGAAGGAGTGTTGTATAAAATAAGATTATTCACAACAATATGTGGCCTGGACAAGGGTGGTCCACATGCTCGCTTCCCTTGGGAGAGCAAACAATAGAGCTAAAAATCCTCCGAAGGGTGCGTTTTTTCATAGAAATGCTGCTTTTGTAAATTAAAGTAGCCGCCACATGTGCGGGTCAGATGTGAAATTCAGAAGCAGCCCTTGCTTTTGTATTATATGCAGGAAGAGAAAATTTTTCTTTAAGAAAATTAAAAGCTTTCCCATGTGTTTGAGATTTGTCATGGTGTGAATGGAAAGGTTTTGGCATGAATCAATTAATGGCCGGGCTTCTTAAAAAATTCCGCCAACAGTAGAAGCCGCAACTTAAAAAGAAAACTGACCTGAGTGATAACACCTTTAAGGGTGGAGATTTATTTTACCCTCCGAACCTGACCAAGGAGCTTGTGTGTAAATTAAGTAAATTTACTAGGTTGAAATTTTCCTATGGTTAATTTTAAGAAAAAAGGACGACTTTTCACAAAAAATCCTCACTGTTTGATACTTTACATGAAGAATTTTTGCATTTATACTTTGTAAGGTTAAAAACGCCATGATTACAGAATCAGTCCTCTTTTCTAATTATGTTGACCTCCAGTGTGCGAGTTTTATGCATTAATTTTTTGTTCAATATTGGAGGAAAATTAAAGAATAAATTGCTGTTTCTGCTGTGAGGGGGAAAAATGTTATAGTCGTTCGAAACTAATTATAAATTATCAAGGATGTGGCGGAGTAAGCGTTTTTTGTTATAATGATAAACTTGTCCGCGTGACCGACCGATGCACTTTTGCTGACGAAATGCAGCTTACGAAGCTTAGTTTGCGATTGATTTATTTCATAATAACTGTTACAGGGAGTCAACTGAGTCAAGGCTATAAAAAAAATATATCTGAGTGACTGAAAAATTAAACATATAAATTAAATAATTTTTAAGAGGTTTTTACGTGGATTTACTGAAACTGTGCGAGAAACACTTGGCTTAAAAGCATTTAAAAAATTAAATTCTCAATTAAAAGCCAAAATTTTGGTTTGTTTATTCCATTATTTAAAGCCAAGTGTTTCTCGCACAGTTTCAGTAAATCCACGGAAAAAACCTCTTAAAAAATTAACCCCTGAAACTGCTTTACACTTTACAACACAAAAAAAAAACACTACTCTACGCTAAATTTTGAACAGAAAAAACACATGCACACTAACAATTATCTGAGAAAAATAAATGAAACCTGTAAAAACAATAATTTAACAGAAAATCTAGGTAAATAATTAATTTTTCTCTTTTGTGCTGTTTAATTTCGGCAATGGGCGAATTGCACAAGAAAAGTAAACTAATCAACTAAAAATTGCTACACGTATTTTCTTCTAATTTTATTATTTAATTGACAATTCAATCAATTATTGGAAAATAATTTGTTAGATAGATCGGCTTTGGAAAAGACTTTTAATTTTATATTTAATTTTTTCTGTATTGACTTGACGTAAGATGTTGTGCATTACATATTTCATTGTATCTTACAATTAATGGAGAATAAATACATAAATAAATAAATAAAACATCTGAGATGAAAATATTTAACTTAAATTTTAAATTTCAATATGTGGGAATCAGATACGTTCTGATGCTGTTAAATTTGGTAAGAAAAATCATCAAATTTTTGCGGGAAATAAGAGACAATTCAAGAATTTCACGTGTCAGCTTCTCGACGGGGCGTGTTTCCCAAAGGGTGCGAACTATTTCTGTGCTAATTTGCCGGTTGTCTAGCGTCGCCCCCGGACAGCCGCCTCCGCTCGGGGGCGGATATATTATTTCACGGGCCGGCGGCGTAGATGGTGCCGCCGCCAACGCACTCGCGGCGGCGGCGGCGCTAGAGCCGGTTTGGCGCGAGCGAGAAACGAGCAGGCGAGGCAGTCACGCCGGAGACACCGGCCGCAGCGGAGGCACCGCTGATCCCGCCGTCGCCGCCTCGGCAGCCCGTCTCACGTGCTTCGTCAGCGCATCGAGGACAATAATTATTTTTGTTTGTGAATTTTGTTTCGCGTTTCGAAAGGCAACAAGCAACTAGGGCAGCAGGACGAGAAAAACAAGCAAAGTCAAGGCGTCCCCCCCGCCCCCCGAGGAGAGGAAAAATGCGCCCTCGGCAGGTCGACGAGTGAGCCGAGCACCGTCAGTTGTCGCCGCCGCGATGAAGCTGAAGGAACGAGTGGCGATCGGCGCCGCCGTCGGCGTCACCCTGTTCACCCTGCTGCTGGTGGTCGACCTGCAGATGGGCATCTCGGGCAAGCACTCGGCCCTGCTCTACAGCCACGGCAAGGTGCGCTTCGGCGCCGCCAACCTGCAGAACCCGCTCGCCTTCAAGTCGCGCTTCCTGCAGCGCAGCACCAACGTGTCCAAGGAGGCGTCCGCCCAAGCCTCGGACGGCACCAGCAACGGCACCGGCGGCGGCAACCTCGCCGGCCACGCGTCCGACGCCGCCGACACCAACGAGATCAAAAAGCAGACCACGCCGCCGGACAGCTTCAGCGACCTCGTCGAGTACATGGTCATCCTCGGACAGAAGGACAGCGGCGCCGCCACCAAGGACAGGGGACCCACCCTCGGGCAGATTCACAGGGTCAAACTGAGGTCAGTCTACAATAATTGATATCTAATTTGTATAAAAAAAGGATAAACAGAAATTTACTATTTAACAAGCGATAAATTTTAAATAATAAAGAAATTAATTTTTTTAAGCGATATATTTAAATATAAATGGAAACATTAAGGAAAGATAATTTTATTTAAACAAATTGATAGGTTTTGGATTAATTATTGAATTTTAAATGGAAACATTAATTTTTGGATTACAGAATTCCAATTCTGTTTTCCCATTTAAAATTGAAATTTGGACATTTTAATTTGTTTTCCAAGCATTGGTTTTTTTTCTCAATCCAAGTTAAAATTTCTTTTGAAAAATTTTGATTTCAATTTACTTATTTTTATTCTAATATAAGTCATGAAGAAAAAATAATTAAATTATTTAAAAAAGGGAAAAATTTAAATGGTTCAAGATTAATATTTAAATTATTAGAATCTTGTTGGAATTTTTTAATAAAATATTGAAGAATAAAAAGGAAATTTTACCTTTTTTAATTAGTCTCATCTTGTCTGCTAAATTTAGTGATTTTTATGACGTGACAAATGATTAATTGATATTATCAATTTTACTAAGCTCATTTTGCACCGCACACTTGAATTTTGTTAAATAATTATTTCGTATGAATTAATGATGTTGAAATTCTTGAAATTGATTAAACTTTTAACAGTTCATCACATTTTTATGCTGTCAAAATTGATTTTGATATATATTTTTTTTTGATATATATATTCTTGGTTCATTTTTTAATTTTTTTAACTTGAATGGAAAATTTCTCATTCAGTGTTCTATCTTTATACATGGATGTTTATTTTAGAGTTTCGAAGCGAGTGTCAGTCCTGTTAGGCCTTTGCACCCAAATATTTGTTTTTTGTTCCACGCAAGTGTATAATGCAGTGATAATGGTGCTGTTTCTTTATCTCGTTGCGTCTTCTACGTCGCGCGCATTTCATCACGACCGACGATATTCATTTCCCCAGAAGATTCTTCTTTCTTTCCCTTGAAATTTAAGTGACTCACACGATCCTGTGGCGTCATGAGTGCCTGCGTGGAAATTTGATTTGTCCCCTTTGCTAATTAGCATATCCGACGGACTGCAGCAAAATTGAAACGTCACCTGATTTTTATTTTCTCGCGTAAGCAAAACAGCGAAACCGAGCGAGTCAGCAGTTTTTGCAAGTGGCGAATTATTTCGTGCGTGTTTGTTTTAATAAATTCGGTGGGATGTTTAAACAAAAATGGCCCTGAACATGCTTGCGTTTGAAGAGCGCGCAGACAAAACTCGCGATTTTTGCCCCGCTAGGCACATTGGCGCTGTTTTTAATTGCATTGTTGTGCGCATTCTTTCGTGTGTGCATTGTTTGGCCCCGTTTCGAAAGGTGCTGGAAAAACGAGCGCCGCTAAAATAAAAATTTACAAAAGCATTCCTCGCTTGGGAAAATAAGCAAATGCGTTATTTTTTCCCCTCGCACTGCACAATCATTAGCGGTGCGGAAAACGAAATTTTTTCTCGTCGGGGTCACTTTTCAGACCACTTAATTGGAAAACTGTGACATTCAGATTAATATTCTTGCTTTGAATTAAAAATTGCTCTCTGATTAAAATAGTTTTCATGTCATGATGATGGTAAATTGTAAATTGTTCTTTATGTACCAAAATAATCATTGCAAAAATTACGCATAGACTTTTTCTTGGATTTCACACGTTTTAAACAAATAAAAGATGACTAACTCAGACACTGCTATCTACGATGAATCAAAATAAATTACTGCATAACATACAGACCAAATTGACTTTTTTGCAGGAAAAAAAATCATGTCAATATTGAAAAATTTGCACTAAAATTTCTCTGCGTAAAACAAACTTTGATATATACAATATTTGAATTTTTTTTAATCTACACTAATAGGAACCAAATTAACAAAATTTACAAACAATTCACAGCACACTAGCAAAAATATTAAAGACAATTTGGTTAACTGAAAATCAGATGAAAATAATTTTAAAATCTTGTAGAATTTCGCGATTGAAGGTTCCATGGTGATTTGAATTTAAAATCGGCTTTTTCTCGATGGATTTTGTGAGTTGTTTATTGTTTTTGAAAGAACATTATGCAGCTCTACTCGGCTGCGGCCTGCATGAGTTGTGATATCATTTTGAAGAAAATTAGTACTAAAATCATGTTTTAAAATGTAACTTTCAGGAATTTTTCACGAAATTTGTTAATTTGATAGGATTTTTTTAAAAAAAAGGGGTACATTGAAAACAACGGCAATAAATCAAATTTAGCAAAAAGTGGCCGCGCCCAAAGTTTTTTTTTTAATTTTGAAAGATATTTAAATTATTATTTCATCACAAGTCCAGCCAATTTCCAAGGACTAATTGCTTCAAATTAGAAGCTTTTAGTGCTTACTCAGACTTTATATAGTGCTTAATATCTAATTTACATGTTTAATTTTGTTTTAACATCCATTTTTTTAATTCATATTTCACATCATTTTTGCTCTGCAAGATTTTTAACTCTAATGGCAAAAGATTCCACAAACATGGCAAATGGAGTGGGTCCAGACCATATCTTTTTTTTTTAAATTGATAAGTAAATAAAATTAAGGTTATCAAAGTAAACTTTTCAATTATGTTTTTCATAAAAAAGTTGGTTCATTTTTCATTATTCTTGTAACTCGCAAATGACTTTATACACATTTTTTTAACGTAGTTTTTAAAGCAAACCTGCACGCTTGGAAATGTATAACGTTTGCCGGGGATGAAGTTGTTTGCAGCCGGTAGCGATTTCTACTCTCGTTTGCTGCCGGGGTGCTCGGCGCACACCACGAGAGCATCTTTTCCTTTCTCTCGCCGGTAAATCTCGGCCGCGTAAGTGTGTTTGTGGCGGGGTCGGACGTTCGCAGTGGAGATTGCCTCCCTAAATCAGACACAATATGTCCCGCTATAACCCCGGCAAGGTTATCGCGTTTCCTCTCTCTCAGCAGTATAACTGGGGCGATATAATAAAAATGTGTAAAAACAGCGCGCGGCGATGAAGTGAGAGGAAAATAGCGCGCGGCGCCCGAGCAATTTCGGCCACCGAACGCTGGAGAAAACCACCGCAGGCCGGAAAAGATTACACCCCATAAACATTTCCCGTTTTAAGTGCCTGATAAGTGCTGCAACACCCAAAACACGCATCCCTCCGCGTTTCCTCTCTGCAGGAAAAAGAAAAGGCCTGCGAAAAAAGAAAGGAAAAAATGCTGCTTACGCAGGCCAAAAGTTCAATGGCGGCCAATCAAATATTTAAATGGCCCGAAGCGGCGGATTGATTGGAACGACTTTTTCGTCCGAGACACGTTTTCGTTCTCCGACCTTTCAATTGGCGACAATGTTGTAAATTTGTCCAGTTTTAAATCGTTCCCAAGAGGAGCTAAATCTGTCTTACATTAATATCAATAAAATTGGACTCATCACTTGAAAATCGGTCGAGCTATGTTGCCATGTTGGTGACAATTTATTTCTGTATGAACTTTTTTAGAGGTCATTTCAATTTAGAATGTGATATCTCACAAGAATTGTATTTTATTTATAATATTGTTTTTAATGGGAATTGTTTTAAATCATTTTTTCTCAAATTCCGTTAAATTAACTTTATTTCACCTCTACTTTTGATAAATAAAAATAATTAATGTTTAAAATTATTTATATGGTTAAAAACTTCTTCACCTTCTCACACAAGATCAATCTAAATTTTTTGACTGACCTAATAATTTTATTGTTCCATCATAATTGGATGTGATTTGCTGATATTTCTATCAAGTTTGAGAAAAAAAATCTAAGAAGAAACAACGTTAAATTTAAAAAATTCAGTTCCCTCAATAAATTAAAAATGTGTCCTCGGAACTGACATCTCTGCAGACCAAAAGCGAATGTAGAGAAAAATTATCATCACAATTAATCAAGCAGATTTGTTTTTCAAAAGCCTCCATAAAACTTACAACATAAAATAGGTGAAATTATTTGCACTGAATTTTTCTTTTCTTTTTTTATACATTTTGTTTTAGTTTCTCTTATTTATTTAAATGAGCCAATCATGAAATGATTGAACTAGGTCAGTGCCAAACAATCATTTTAAAAGGAAATCAGAATTAATCGTTACGGCGCTTCTTAAAGTAATCAATATATTTTTTTTGTCTATTTATAAAAATATATCAAATTAGTCAAATAATGTTCTATTTTTTTTTGTTATGATGAGCGCCCTTTGGTGTTTGTTTAAGTTTCCGTCCGCTTTCCGTCTTTTGCGCCAAAGCAGCTTTCGCGACACGCACTGGCTTATTATTTTTATACTTGAACCCAGACAAATGCCGCGCCGTGGTCAGTCGTCGGCGCGAGTTAAACTCGGCGTCGAGGATACGAGCGACTGATCCAATAAAATTAATTCCAGCAGCAGCAACTGCAGCTCACGGAGTTGATTATTGCCATCAAGGCCACTCGGGGACACCAACCAGTCTGCGGACGGACACCAAACTCGGGTCCCCGCGTCGCGCACCAGCACGGAATTCACTCCCCGCGCCGCAGCAATTTTCTGCTATGACGTATTCGCTATTTAGGCCAGCGGTTCCTCTCTTTGAATGAATTAAACCGACGAGAGAGGATAAAAAATATGTGAATAAGTTCACGCTACGCTCTTCTGACTCGATGTAAAGACTTTTTGGACACTTTTTTTTTGTACAAAACTTTTACTCGAATAAAAAACAAAGGATCTCCCGCGGCGTTCGAGAATCGTTTTCCGGCGCGACGTGCTTTCATTAAAGCGCCACTCTCTGTTTTTTCCATTTTAAAAATTTGTAAACACAAATTCTCTCTGTAAAAGTTTTTGTTGTTGCTTCGTAGAGCATTTACTGAATTTTTATATAAAGTCCGCGTTTTTTGATCGAGAGAAGTGTCGTCGCAAACAACAGGGAGATAAGATAAAGTCGTGTCTTTGCTGTTCGGCCGAGCA